ATAGATGATGTGAACATTCACATTACTGTTCATTACTGGATAAACTTACATTAGTAGACACTGATGTGAACATTCACATCAGTGTATAATGATGTGAATGTTCACATTACTGCCACTTTTGATATTGTTGATTGTTGATGTCCATAGAACCCACAATCTTCACTCAAAAATGTGATGGAATATGATGTAAACATTCACATTATGACATCAATGTCAGACTTGTTGGGTGTTGTTTGGTGTTGTTGGTTCCACTCTTTGTTTTTCAGCCAATTATAACATAATGTAATCACCAATGTAAACATTTACGTTGATTGGATATTGATAACTATGTGATTGGATCAGATTTCTGTTAACGGTAAATATAATTTTTAAAATAAATTGTTAATAAAAATATGATCCAATCAAATAGCTATCAATATCCGATCCACGTGAGTTTTTACAAGAATAAAGTTCACAGGAATAAAGTACTGACGAGTTATATATATTGAACGGTTCATATTATCGAAACAAGGCACCGTCCAATCCACTTTGTGGACTAAAGACAAGCCTATCCCTTATGTGAATTAGATTAAATGCATCAAAAGAAATACATATGGTGTGAAGATATGAAGATGAACAAAGATAAAATATACATTTTACTATAAAAAATTAAAAGCATCATTTTTCTATCATATGAGTAGCGAATTACTAATAAAAACTAAGGCTAAATATTATGTGAATTAAAACTTCAAGAGTGGCTAATGTAATTATGTCAAACTTGTAGATCACATTTCCTCAAAAATTAAAAAGAGATGAGTATAATTTAACCATAAAATAATTATATATATAGGGTTGGTTTCGGAAGTAGTTTTTTGGTTTTTGACTAAAATATAAGATGAAAAAAAATTAAATCATATAAAAATAGAAAGAATAAGAAATAATCTTTGATTTTTTTAGAAAATTAACAAAATTTCAGAGTTTAACCCTTATAACAAAATAAATTTTGAGTTTTTATTTTATTATTTTAAATCCTAATTTTTTGATTTATTTTTAATCTAAATTATTTACATATTTCCGTTATGTAAAATAGATAAAAATATATATTTATGTGAACATTCACATTACTGTTCATTACTGGATAAACTTACATTAGTAGACACTGATGTGAACATTCACATTAGTGTATAATGATGTGAATGTTCACATTACTGGGTTCTGATGATGGAAGGTTCTAAGGTAATTTTTTAAACTCTACCAATTTATCAATTTTGGGTCTCATACACTGGTGAGGTTCTTTACATGGTCATTGTACTTGATTCTTCCTGCATGGTTGGAGCTTGTTTGACCATTTACTTTCAAACTAACTTGAATCGTCTTCATATAAAGATCACTGCTCCCTTGTAATGTTAATATTGTGCTCACATCTTCTGTTTAATATTAACATCTTCAATATGTTATTTCAGTTGCTATTTGTCATTTCAACTATGTATGTAGCAATACTCACACACATAGAAAAGGCTGTTGCATTTTTTGCCTTCCTCTTGTTGTTGTTGTTGTTTTTTTTTTTTTTTTCCTTTTTTGCAAAAAATGGTTTCTGGGTTTTTCAAATTATATTGTATTATAGTTTTGTGTTTTTCTAATATCATTGCTTCATTGAGCATCCTTGAGTCAGTTATAAATGCATATTTATTTGATTGATGACTTGATAGTTGGTTTTTTGCGGAGTTTTATTAAGTTCGTGCCCTTGTAAAATTTCATTTGTTGATTGCAGTATGCTGAGCGTTTACCATGGGTTAGAAAGGGTAATCCAGACAGTTTTAGAAATCTTACTTTTAATTTCTGCATAACAGTCTACAGTGATGATCAGTTGTAAGATGCCTGCGGATGAGTTAAAAATTGTGAAGGACTATGAAAATTTACTTGCCGAGTCAATATTCTTTCTTGCTTTAAATCAGAGGTTTTTTTTAAAATATCTCGCAGAAAGGATTCTGCATATTTTTCATGCTCTGTTGCTGCTGATGTCATAGCTCGTCCAATGAAAGCCTATATAATGACTTCATTTTGTAAAGAGAAAGGGACTATTATTGAGGCCCTAAAATCAATTCTTACTGAGGTGTGTTTTTAATATTGATGTAGGGATCTACTTGCTTTTCCTTTGTTTTATTAATGCCCTGCATTTCAGGTTGCTAGGGTTCCGCTGCATGGATTTTCTGAATGTGAAATTTCTGTTGCTCGAACTTTGCTAATGTCAGAGATTGAATCTGCCTATTTGGAACGTGATCAAATGCAAGTATACTGCCATTTATGGAGTTGCTGTGTTGTGAAGTTCTCTGAAGCAATTTGAGATAATGGAGTTGGTGTATGCTGTGCTGTGAAATTATATATATATATATGAAATGTGTATCCTTTTTCTATGTAATACATATCAACAAATAGACATAAGGGTATAATAGTCCAACAAACAATATAAATTAGGAAAAAAAGGACCTCATGGAATAAAAGTATAAATATATGGGACTAATTAGGTTATAATTTTTCTTGGTGGACTTATTGGGTTAAAACACTTCTAAATGGGATTTATCAATAAAAAACCCTTTTTTATATGTTACATTATAGTGTTACGCTAAAGAGGTTTTTGGAGTGTTATGCTTGAGGAAAGTACACTAAGGATTTTTTTTTGAAGTATTACAATTTGAAATTATACATTTGTTCAAAATTTAGTAAGGAGTTTTTATACTTCTTTTGAAATGTTTGAAGAATCCCACATCGTTTTGGAATGTTTGAAGAATCTCATATTTGAAGTCATTTTGAAATGTTTTCCAAATAAAAAAGATTGTTATATAAAAATTCATCTTAAATTTGATTATCATATATTGTGTACCTCACTTTTCTACTACAAAAGAAAAAAAAGAGAAGAAAACAGAAATAAGGGTATAAACCGTAAATTTAATTTCAAAATAATATATTAAATTTACATTTCAAAATCAATGAGACTAATTGATATATAAAAAATTCATCAGGACTAAATGGATCACCATATGCATGAAAAAAATAAAAGTTTACCAAATTTGTTAATAGGTTTCATTTAAAAAAGAAAAATATTTAAGACTTATAAAAAATCTTTTATAATTTGATCCATAATAATGTAGCATAATACATATTAATTTTTTATTTATCATTGATAGGTCGTTGAACACACCAAAATTAAATACTAAACTATACCAAATTCAATCAGAATAATGGCAAGTCCAGGTATCGATTCACAAGGACTATTGTGAAATTAAATTAATTCAATCGCAAAATTCCTAAATTAATTTTGATTAAAAAGATAAGATTGATTCTATACCTAAACAGCAATTAAATAAAATTGAAGAATTATATTGACAATTAAAATCTAGGGTTTGAGATATTAATTTTCGAGAAAAAATTCTTAGGGGAGAGAATTCACCACTAACCACATGAATGAGACTTAACATCAACTATCAATCGCAATTCGGTTTGAATTATCCAATATTTCACAACTACAAGTTTGAAATATTGATCAAGAGGGTTGTTGCATTCAATGTACAGGCACGAATCATCCCGAGTAGTACGAGTCGTTTGCTCTAAACTATGTTAGCAAAACGACCCGTCTCTCATAGCATGACTCGTCTCGTACTTTGAATACAAACACAAAGAATACTAATGTATGGAAAACATTAAACAATCACAGAGAGTAAAATGCTTGAAGAGAAGAACGAAACAATTATTTATAAACTTCTAAAACATCCATACATTCATTCAAACCAAGTTACAATGAAAGCTCGTGAAAAATTCCATTACATGGCTAGGGTTTCATCAAAACCCTAGAAAAGACGATTAGCCACTCATGGAGGAGTGGAAAGAGGAAGAAGATGAAGAAAAAGCCCCCATGGAAGTGTTTTCCAAGCTTTGGTAGTGTCTCCCCCTTTGGAACCCTAGCTTTCCTCCGTTCTGTATTCAATTTTCGAACCCTAACTGTGACTGATTTTCTGTCTTTTATTCGGAGCAAAATAGACCAAAAAGTCCGTGCACGCGTCCCTAGGTTGGCCGCTCGTGCGGTGGTGGACTGCATGTGCGGTGGAACTTGGCCGCACGTGCGGTGGTCTGGTGGACTCGGATTTTTCACGTCTCGCTCGGAGAATCTGATTTCACGCCCCCTTTTAATTGAATGTTCATATTTCCTGTTAAATCTGTACAAGTGCACGAAACACATCATCTCCACCAAATAAATAAAATTAAAAGACAAAAAATGTAACTTAAATGGACTAAATGTGGTACCTTTCGACTTACATCAATCATATATTCAATTGTATAAGATTTATCTCTATTGACATTATTGTGAATAAATTTAAGGATTTCAATTGCAGATCTCTAGCATTACCTAATTAGGAAAATATTTTAGATCCTTAAAAATGTCTCATAATTCAACTACAATGATTTGATTTGATTTGATAAATGTTAATTTTTTATTTATTATACACGTAATAATATATGAATTTGGTTAAAAGTCAATTTTTAGTTTTTAAGTTATTTTGGGTCATATTATTTTTTTATTTTTTTACATGTTTTTTTTAAAAAAATTAATTTTTAGCCAATTTCTTAAATGTTAATTTTTTTTAACTTTTAAAGTCACATAATCTCTCTAATTTTTACATATTTTTTTAAAAAAATTAAAAAATCAAAAAATTAATTTTTAATTTATTTTCAAAAATAGTATTTATTGACATGTTTGGCTTTTGACATTTTAATTTTTTTGACCTCACCCTGAGGCTATCATACAATCATTTGTTAAACTTCAGTCTACACTACTGTCGTCAAGAGTAAAAAAAACACTAACCCCAGCAATGGCCGTTTTTGACACCCAATTAAATCGAGCCACGTTCCAAATTACTGCTCAATTTTGCTTACGTGGCTTATTTTTAATGGTCCGTCTCATTTTGTTCCCCACCAAGCGTTATTCTATCAATTTAACATACATCATTTGAGACACAACATAAATCGTAGACGACGACACGAAGCAACCAGAGAGAAAGAGCAGTCTCTTTCCTTCCTAAGACACCAAACCCTAATCTTGGAAAGAGAAAGTGTAGATATATATATATACATACATTTACATTTACATATATATATAGAAAACCATTTAGTTTTCCATCTCTCTGCAAGTATACAATCATTCGCAGTCTCTCTCTGTATAGCGACTCGGCATTGAAATCGAGTCTTCAATCTCAGAAATTCGAAAAAAGCCCTCTTTTTGATACATTTGGTCACCGATTCGATCAAGAAACAGTGCGGAATTGATTTTTGGGGAGAATTGGAATTGTGATTGATTAATCGCTGCATGAACGATACAGGGGGGAGAAGAATCGGATCGATTGCTCAGAGAGTAGGATCAGAAAACTGAGCACACAACATGTCTGCCATAGTGTGCGGGAAGAGATCATCCATCTTCGAAGACCTCCCATCGTCTCCGCCCGTATCTAAGAGAATTCGCTGTTCCTCTTCGTCGCCGGTTCGATTCTCTCCTCCGAGGCCCATCACCGGCTCTCCGTTTAATTTATCGTCGTCTCCATCGCATTTATCGGCCCTTGACTACCTCTCAGCTCACTTTCCTGACATGGACAAACAGGTTTCTTTTATTTTGTGAATTTAAGCCCTGTTAAATAAAACTTTTGCTATTTTTTTTTTAAATTGGAAGTTGTATTTGTTTTGGGGGGCTAATTTCGAGAGAGATGATGGCTTTTTCTATTCTCTTGTGATTTTCATTCAATTTGATTGTTGTATAATTTTTTTTTTTTTTTTTTAAGTGATTGCATCTTTTGGAATTATAGGGTGGAAATTAAAATCCATTTCTTGTTTCTGGACTTTGTTTTGATTCAAAATTCGGTAGCTTTAGGAGTGAATGAAAGAATGTAATTAGAGCCTTCTTGTTTAAAATTTCTTGGGTGTCCCTGTGGGATGGGGCATGATGATTGTGCAAGCAAATTATTGTTTGTTGGTAGTTGGTGAGTAGTATCATTTGAAATTCCTAGAGGAAGCTTACATTTCCGTGCAAGCAAATTTGAGTATTAGATGATATAGGGGAGACCCACCACTGATCCCAAAAGTCACATTTAGTGGGAGGAGGTAACACCGAACCATGCTTAACACCCAGGATGCTCTTCTATGAAGCATAGGTACTTCAACAAAAATGTTGTATCCGTACTGAGTATTGGTACTTTGCATGGTACTTTCGCATGTGTACTGAGTACACAAAACTCGTATTTAAATTTTTTGTTCTTAATTTTTGCCATACCCTAGGTACCTAGTATATATCCAAGCCATACCTTGGCCGAAATAGTATTTTTTTTCTATTTAGAAGTACAAGTTTCGTTGGATTTTTTTATACTTAGCATGATTTTGTAATTAAGCTTTGGTTCGTGAGTTATTTGATATAATGACATTTGATTTTGGGTTTATATCTGACTTTTGGCATTGAATGTAAATTGTATGTTGGATCTTAACCAACTAAACCAGTTAACTAATTTTGGCATTATTCCAAATTAAAAATTAAAGGGGCATACTTATTATGGAGCATGCTAAGCATACCCATAACTATTTTTACGAACATACCTAGCCATACCCATAACTACTTTTGTAGGTTTTACTGTATCGATGCACTCGTACCGTAATGTGATGTAGGAGCATCCTTAGTGTGGAGCATCACCTCACCCTAACATAGGTCTCACCCCCATTGATTGGAAACTTGGGCTATGAAATAAAGGGATTGATTCACCTCCTCCTAGTAACTGCAACATTTGGCATTGGTGGCGAGTCTACTTGCATCAAACAGTATTTTAGCTATAGGTCTTGCGTTTGAAACTCTTCCATTGCGGGCATGTGAACAGGAGGATCACCTCGTGCTAATGTGGGTCTTGCCTTGATTTACTTGAACCTGGGCTATGGAAGAGGGATTCATTTGCCTCCTACCACTAGCTATGACTTTTATGATCAGTGGTGGGTCTCCCTGCATCATTATATCTTTGTTGTCCTACTTTAACCGTCTCACTAATAGATATATTACATGTCAAACAACAATAGCACTAAAATTTCTAAATTACGAATAGTTGTTTGATTGTTAGAAATACTAAGACGCCCTCATCACCTCTTAAAATGATGAAGAAATAGCCATGTATTGTGTTATCACATGTTTGAAGTGGTTGTACTTTAAAGGCAGTACTCAATCCAAGTTCTTTAGCCTTTTCCAATTACGAAATATTTATGGTCTTTTGCAAGCAATGGTTATTGAAGCTTTACGAATTACTACTCATCTTTCACTCGTTCTTATCTCAATATGCCAATTCTGAACCTTCCCTTGTCTTTAAACCCTTCAAACTTCAAAAATTAGCTACATAAAGGTAAGTTTTCTGCCATGCTTTTAATGAACTGTTTAGATTATTGGCTTTAAATCTAGAAATAAAACATTTATAAATTCTAGTGTTATTTAAGTCAAGAGGCGCACTGAGGCTCCAAGAACTTTTTGGGCCTAGGCACAAGGCGCATTACGAGGTGCGGGCTTCATCGAAGCAAAGCACATATTATAAATATTTTGCATGTTTTTTTTTTTATAGGTATGAGAAATTTATTGTGCATTTTATTTACCATATCCATATGCTATCCAATGAAACATTGTATGTTTACATGAGATTATTACCACCAAGTACATTACATTGCGCTTAAAAGCTTGCACCACATCAACAATTTCAAATGAAGGAAATTTAAATTAAACAATTAAAAGCAGTTAATCAACTAAATAAATAATTAAGCAATTAAATATTACACAAATTAAGTAACTAAAATAATCAATTAAGCAAATTAAGTCATTTAATGATAAACGCTTGGACAACAAATTATTGTTTGTCCATTATTACTGACTAGAGGGGAAAAAAAGTAAAATAAAAGATACGGATCCAAAACATAAAAAATTAGATGTTTATTTTTAATTTCTTATTTAGGATTGAGGCTATCTATTTATTAGGAAGGTTTTGATAGGATGTCTACAATTTATAAAATTATAATGGACTTCATTAGATCAAATGGTTGATATCACATCTCAAAATTGAAAAAGGTGCACGCCTCTTTACGCACTTTGCATGCCTTGAGCGCCTCTGCTGCGCTTCATTAAAGTTGCCTCTCTTCAGGGGTATTGAGGCGCCGCAAGTCTGCTTTGATGCATTGTCTAGATGCGTCTTTGATTATACTTATGAATTCTATTACTTGGATATGTTTTCATAGTTTATGCATTCTTATCTATAGTTATAAAGGAAAATGCTTTGAAGAATTTTCATGGGTGGCCTTTCCCTCTGAAGTGTTTCAGAGGCGAGAAACAATGAATTTTCATGTGCCAATTTACCTTCATCATTAATTATATTCCTATTTCTAATCTTATAAGAGAGAGAAGAAAAGAAAAAGAGTTAGCCTAACTTCATCACAGAGACAGTACATACGGTATATCGTGTGAGACAATATCACGAACATAGAGACAATATATCATGTGAAACAATTTATAAGATTCCAAACTTGGCCTTCATATTTTTAGAAAAAAATATCAAATTGAAAAGTGTTGAAAAACTATCTTCATTTATTTATTTTTGGTTTATAGACTTAAAATATCTTGCTTAGTTTGCAAAATAGTTGAAATTTTATTAGGTTGAAAAGCATAGAAACGTTACAAAGTTTACTTCCATTCTAAATTCGTACACCAACTGTATTGCAAGTTTGCAACTTTAACGCATAACTTAAGCCAAATGAGTATTGACACATACTATGTGGTAGTTTCACATTTATCGCCTTCTTATTGTAGTTTATATATATATTTTAGAGTAAGTAGATAACAAGATTGGAGTAATTCTTGATTGTGAGTTGAAGCAAAACCAACAAATCGAGGAAAAATTCTATATGTTGTGTGTCTAATTATGGCATGTGTATGACATGACCTAGGGTTCCATTTCTGGAGATGATGCAACATGTATTCAACATTATTCATTCGCAGAAATTGATTTGGAGTTCTTAATTACTGCAATCTTCGTATATGCTAGCTCTTTGAAGGAATTATTAAATAGAAGGGCAAATTACACTAACACCTCTTGGATTTATCTGATATCACACTGTCAACCCCTTTGTTCTTTGAAATATTGTTGACCTCCCCTACTATAGAATTTTGTGTAACATATAGACCCATCCATTAGTCAACCGTGAGTTGATTGAGTAGAATTTGCTGATGTCATTGATTTAATATTTTGAAATGCCAAAATTACCCTTCCTAATCTTCTTCCCAATAGGGTTACATTATTCCTATTTTATCATTGCCCCAATTACCAAACACCATCCTTTCACTTTTACCAACACCTACTGTTTGTTTGTTTGTTTTTTTTTGGGATAACTGCCCAGGGCCTTGAAGTTAACAACCGGGTAAACCTCTAGTGGCCCCTTGGGTGACTCGAACTTGAGACATTGGATCTTATCCTCAAGTCTTTACCGCTCAGCCAACCCCTTGGGGTTAAAAATTAAATAGATGAGAGGAATGAGACTCAAAAAAACACCTACTGTTTGTTACCTTGCAGATGAGAAAGAGAAAGAGAAAGATAATAATGAGAGAGAGTAGCCATTGAAGAGCCACCACTTCTATCCACTATCGCCACTTCTTCTACCGATGAAAATGAACAATCTCTTTCTTCACCAATGAACAACACCTCCATAATTTGAACCCATGATGATCTTTCCCTTTTATCTCGGAATCTGCGACTTGCTGCAGTATAGGTTGGGAGGGGGCTGGATTGCGGTGGGGAGGGGGATGTGATGCATGGCTGGACTGCAGTGGGGAGGCAACTAGGATGTGGGGCTACGGGAGCTGCTGGTGGTTCCTTCTTCTCTTTATTCTTATTTCTCTCTTCCTCATGTGTTCTCTCTCTTCTTCACTATCACACACCATGTGTTCGATGAAAGGCCCCTTTAATTATCTTCTCTGCAAAGAGCATTATCACAACAAAAATGCCACTTTAACTATGTCTTTTATCAATTCTATTATGTGCCTCCCAATTGGTTTGTCATTCGAGGGTTTTTCAGTTGGTTTTTTGTTTGCTGTCGAATTACCATTTGGAGCAATGATATCCATATAAGCATATATGAAATTTAGAAGAATGATTATAGAATAAGACGATAGCTTCATATCTTGCCCAAACATTGTAAGAGAAAATGAAGTGGGTTCACCTCATTGATTTACCTTTTAACCGATGCAATATAAAATTATCATCTTGAATTATAGTAGCCAAAGCATGTACTTCAATAACTCTGCTCTATTTCAAGGATTAACTTCAATCACTTTCTGCACTATATTTATTTCAAGAGAGAAGACAACCCACTGTAGTGAATCTGCTTGGTGTTCACCCCCACATTGCCATATCCACTGGTTGGTGGCAGTAGGCTTAGAAGAGAGAGATGATGAAGATGAAAAGAGATGAGAAAAAAAAAAAAAAAAAAAGAAGTAAAAGGGGAATTTTTATTTTTTATTTTTTACATGCAAGGGTAATATGGTTACTTTTATCACTTAATTAGTAGTGTTAACTGACAGGGGTGGTCAGTGATATTTCAGTGAATAAAGGGGGTGGAAATGTGATATCAAAGAAATTCAAGGGGTGCCAGTGTGATTTACCCTAAATAAAATGAAGCTTTGTCAACCTAAAATCGTTCACATTCACATTCACATTTGATTTTGTATATTGTTAATTTTGAGAATATATGTTGTTTTCTTGATTGAATGTAGATTTTTTGATTGTGAGTAGATATAGATCCAACAAATCGAGGAATCAAGGAAGAAGTTTACTGTTTGTTTAATCATGGTATCTGTATGACCTAGGGTTCCATTTCTGGAGATGATGCAACATTTATTCAATATTATTCCTTCGTTGAAATTGATTTGGAGTTCTCAATTACTGCAATACTCGTATATGCTACCTCTTCGAAGGAAATTATTAAATATAATGGAGTTTTCTTTTTTACCTTAAATCATCGACATTCAATTTTATATATTGTTGCTTGTGAGAATATATGTTGTTTTCTTGATTGAATGTAGATTTTTTGATTGTGAGTAGATACAAAACCAACAAATCGAGGAAGAAGTCTATTGTTTGTCTAATCATGGTATCTGTATGACCTAGGGTTCCATTTTTTGGATATGATGCAGCATTTATTCAATATTATTCCTTCGTTGAAATTGATTTGGAGTTTTCAATTACTGCAATCTTTGTATATGCTACCTCTTCGAAGGGAATTATTAAATAAAATAGAGTTTTTTCTGACCTTAAATCATTAACATTCGATTTTATATATTGTTACTTTTGAGTATATATGTTGTTTTCTTGATTGAATGTAGATTCCCCCTCCCCTCCCCCACTACACAAATACAATTTTTTTTTTTTTGAATATGTGGAGCATTTCTAAGACATCTGCTTTAGTCAATAGGACAAGTTACTGATCATTTCTGAATCCTGTGATTTCAGCTTCTTGAGAGAGCACTCAAAGAATGTGGTGATGATCTCGATTTGGCTATCAGAAGTTTGAATGAGCTACGATTGGGATCCGCTGAAAACTTGGGCTCTATTGCAAGCAAATGTGGTGTTGCACAAGAAGAAAATGTGCAATTTCAAGCTTCAGGTACACGTCAATGATTTCTTCCATTGTTAATTGAACTAAAGTTCTATACTCGTGGTTTTTCTGGCTTTCCTTACCCCGTGTGCAGGTTCACTTATGTGGGAGTTAATGTTTTAATTACTTGAACTTGAACTTGAACTCGCAGTTCTCCATTTCTTTTTCTTTATCTTTCTTTCTTTCTCTCTCTCTCTTTTTTGTTTTGTTTTGTTTTTTGTGTGTGTGAATTTATTAGCCCATTATGTAGAAAAACAGTAACTAGTGATTAAAAGGAGAACTTTTGAAGTACCTTAATTGTGCGTGTTTGAATTTGAACTTTGAATTGTTCTCTTGCCTAAATGTTTATGCTTGTGAAAGGGTTCCCTATACTTCCTTTCTATTTCTGTTGTCTCTTATAGAGGATGAATTTTGCTTCCAATAGAAAGGGAACAACTACTAATCATGCCTTTGTTAAATTTAGGAAATAGATATTATGTAGTTTGAATTTTATTCCTTCTTTTAAATATAATAAAGTGATGTTATTTGGTTTGAATTTCTGAAGTAGATGATATCATACTATAATAGTTGGAAGCTATTTTTTTGTTGGTAAACTAGATGATGTCATACTATAATATTCGGATGCCATGTTGTCGGTTGGTGCTTCTCATGCAGATTGTCTGGATGCCATTGGACCTTCGTATGGTGTTTTAGAAACCTGAGAGACTTCCCAAACGCTTTTGAAAGGCTGCTGAGTTACCATTGGAGAAACACCCTCGGGTTTAGATGGAGTCAAGCACTGCGCTTACGATATTAGGGGGCATGTCCAACCCCTAACATCCTCCGTTTGCATCTACAAAATTGTGTTGAGGATAGTTACTAATGCAATATGTTAAAGTAAACATATGTACAAAGAAAACAGAGAGAGGGAGAGAGAGAGAGAGATGCGTTGTAAGCTTGGTAGGCAGGCTGAATCTTCAATATGAGCTGGTACATACTGATAATGGGTTTTGGAGGCCTATTCTTGGTAAACCAAAATAGTGGGGAACACTTGGAAGAGTGCTCAAGGTGGGAGAGAGAGAGTGTCAAGGTGGTCTCAGACCTCAAAGAAGCTGAGTAAACCGCGGCGCCATGGCCGCGGTATGATTTTCGGGCCCTCTCCTCGTTTTGCCCACTGGCCTATTGGGATAAAGCAGTTATCAGAGCTGAATATAATGGAATGTTGACAGATATGGTAAGAAATAGCTGAAATGATGCACTGTTTAGTGTATAAGTGTAGATTTCGTTATTGCTAGAGGCAGGCGTGCAGTAGCAGAGATTTGGCTGTAAAGCTCTCGTGGGAGCAAGGAGACTGAGTTTGGAGGCTGAATCAGAGAGAAAACGAATGCAGAATAAGGCTGGAACCTCTGGCTTAGTTAAAAAGAGTTGAAGGAGCTAAGTTTGTGAGGAATTAAAGCTTATTCCAAACTCTCTAATGGTGGAAGTCTTGAGAGAGTCCACTTAATGTGGAAGAAGAGCCTCTTATTTATAGAGAAACAGAGCCTCTTAGATTTTGATAAGTGTACAAAGTAATTAGTGCATATTGATACTGATCTGATGTGTACAGATTTTGTTTTCTTTAATGGAAAAGGAATCTTACCATAAATAATAATTTTCAGCAATGGCAGTCATCTGCCACTGCTGCTGAACGGACTAAATGATGGCTGAAAATGATTGAAAAGGCATCAACCAATGAGGTGTTGACACACGAGGCGAGACCCTATCCAAAGCAAGTATTCAAAGGTCCAAAGGAGTGCTCCAGTACAACCAGCTCATTGTATTTTGAACTCACTACTGGAGGGTACATGTTTAGACCTTTTGGACACTTTCATGCCCTCTAGATCAGTGGTCCCAAGAGCCCTATGGAAGTGGGCTGGCTACATGGCAAACTGATTGAAGATCACAAGATTTGATCTGGACCCTTAATTTAATAGACCAAATATGCTTCAGCTCGGCTGAAAATGGGCTAAAATTTACTGAAGTTGTTCTCCCAAGGTTGTGGTTGGTTAGGCCAGGACAAGGAGGACTTGGGCTTTGTTATAGAAGGCTTACTATGCATGGGGAAGGGCCGGGCAGTACTATATTGCTGAAGTAGTGGGCCAAACTGCTAGATTGTGGGCCAAAAGTGGCTTTTCTTTATTTTGTTGAGCTCTTGGGCTGCTGATTGGGCCTTCTTAGGCCTTTAACTGATGTGTCAAGTGTTTGAGGTGCTTGGGCTTTGTTGTGGATGCTGCTTGATGGCAATTTTATGCTGTTTGCTGCTGAAGAATGTCTGAAATGGACTATGTTGTGTATTTGAAGTCGTCTGAGGGTGCCTAGCCACTCTAGGGGTCTTGGGCTTTGTATTATAAGCTGAGTCCAACCATTCAAAGGGCTAAAATTGATCAAAGTTGTTGCCAAAACTCCAAGAGGTTAAAAATGCCAAAATGGGCCACTTAAGGCCAAGTTAGACGAAGTGCCAAGTCAGATAAGACCTTGGGCTTATTTCTAGAGTTAAGACCTTGGGCTTTCTAGTGTATAAAGTGCCCAAATGGGTCTCTTCCGGGCTATAACTTGGGCTTCTTTAGGGACTTGGTCTATCTGAATGAGATCTTAGCCTTCGTTTGGGATGTGGGTTGATTTTTTGGCTTTTTGGCTATTTTAGCCTGGGGCTAAAAAGTCTTGTTTGGGATGGGCTTTTTAATTTTTTTGACTTTTATGAGAGAAAAAATGAAATGATTATGGTTTAGGTGTGACATTTTGTCTTATTGGTTTTTTAGCTTATTTGGTCTTTTTGTGGCTAAAATAGCCAAAAAAGTCCATGCCAAACATAGACTGAAAAGGTCTTTGGAAAGCTGGTTGGGTCGTGGGCCCATGAACCGAATGCTGAGATAAAGTCGAATTTTGTATGTCAAGTAGCCCAAAATTGTGGTCATATGTACTGAATTTTGTGATGAAAAGTGCAATCAACACACTCTAATTAATTATGTTAGACTAAGCACTACACCACAGTAATTAAATACTGGTCTACACTACACATTAATTATTCCCAATAAAAGAAGAGTTTGGTCTCAATCTCTTTGGTTGATTCATTGATTCACCAATTCGGGCCCTATACCAATTCATGTTGTTTAGGGCTTGAATCCACTCAGAATTGTAAGGTTTGAATTGCAAATAGTACAATTTTAACAACTATGATCATGATAGTCTTGTGATCAGGATTAATGGGTTCTTCAATCGATGGACAAGCTCCCTCTTGTTTGTGGAGATCCTCTATAAATCAATTTTTATTCCACATTCAAGGTCAGTGGACTGTGCAGAAGCTGGTTTGACATGGCATTCGGATTGAAGAGGAGTCACCATCTATTTTATAAGACCATCTATTATATAAGAAGCAAAACCTGGTTGTCTTATGACCTCTTGCAATCCATGTTCGCACAAAGACAATAGCTAAGTAGATATACTAGGCTTTGGAATTTTCCCTCTAGAACTCTTGTAAAGAATTCGTTGTTGTGGACTGTTGTCATTCTTTGAAGGGCCATTTATGATTGTCTCATTAAATTTGTCTTCCCCTCTGCCTGAATCCTGATCTTACCTGCTCAACCTTCCATTCCAGAACACATAATAAAACAATCATCAGCATTATCACTGTATTTGATTTTGCATCCAAGCGTTAATCTCTATCTTATAGGCCATTTTGGACATAGCTACTTACTAAGAATAGTAAAAGCAATACTCTCACATTTATTTTGCAGGTGTGGTGGAAGCCAGTACCAAGGTTGCATCTGCTGAGGATCCATCGGCTCTGCAGAACCTTTCCATGGGTGGTGCAGACTGGGTGGAGCTGTTTGTTAGAGAAATGATGAATTCATCTAATATGGATGATGCTAGGGATCGTGCATCCAGAGCACTTGAGGCCTTGGAGAAGTCCATTTGTGCTCGTGCAACTGCAGAGGCAGCTCAGAACTTCCAGCAGGTAGTTGTTTATAAGAGTAGGCTTGTCTCCAGTTGGGTCTTCCACTGGAGCATACTGATGGCATCAATGGGCCCACCACAGGACCCACCTCGATGATTTGAATTGTTCATTTTGTAGGATCCTCCTAGCACAGATCATTCATGCAAAAAATCAATTTAATTCAATAACCATAGGCACATATGACCAGGAAACATTTATCTGTGGCTAGGATTATCCAATCAACCTAAGTTTTTTGCACAGATGATCTGAACGGTTCAGATTATCAAGTTGGATCCTGTGGTGGGTCTACTGAGGCCCAACATTATGCTCCAGTTCGAGGACCCAACTAGAGACAAGTCTCTTCCTTGTTTATAAGTATTCTTTAACGAGTATTAAACTTGTATAGATGATCTCATGTTTAATACAGATTGGATTAGCATAAAATAATAATTCAAAAATTAATATGGATTTTGTTATTATTACTATTTAATGGCTTTTTTGTCCCAGCCCACCCCCTCTAGGGTTTGCCAATTTCTCATTTCTTTTTTATTTTTTTATTTTTATTTCTTCCTTCTGATGGTTGTTAGGGCGGGTAGAATGTAGTGATAGATGGTGGATTTTGTTTCTGATGGCTGTTGTACAATTCTAATTTTGGCTTGTTAGGAGAACATTATGCTGAAGGGACAACTAGAAGCATTGATTCATGAGAATGCTGTGCTTAAGAGAGCAGTTGCTATTCAACATGAGCGCCAAAAAGAGTTTGAGGATACGACTCAGGAGTTGCATCATCTGAAGCAGCTGGCATCTCAGTACCAGGAGCAACTAAGAACTCTTGAGGTTGGAATTTCTGACATAAACAATGATTTTATATTTATGAATAGAACATTATGGTGGTGCTCTTGTGAGGAAGGACAGTTTGAAAACAAAAAAGAAAAAAAAGGGAATGGAAAGAGGAAAAGTTAGAAAAGGAAACTGGTTATTTCCTATAGAGTAATTGACAACTTTATTTTCTAAATTTAAATAAAATCACATAATCATTTGCATTCTGAATAACACGTTAAATGTGTGAGACTATTGCCAAAACAACTTCGTTTTTGCTAAAGCAATGTACAGCTCTAGAGCATAAAACAATTGTTTATTACTCTAAGCCTACAAAAGCCTCTTTTGGTTGTTATGGCCGGCCCTTTGGAAAATGCATTTATGTATTGTGGCCACACAGTCATCTTTGTTGAATCTTCATACTATCTTTCTATCAACATATAGATTACTTGCAATTTGGCAACTCTGAAGTAAAATCTTGTTACTTTGTTTATGCTAATTTCACCAATTTAACTGGCTTCTGATCACTTTTTGACCTTGTGATTGTCACCAGGTCAATAATTACGCTCTGACAATGCACCTCAAGCAGGCTCAACAAAGCGACTCCATCCCAGGGCATTTCAATCCTGATGTCTTTTAATGCATTAGTCACATGCTAGGGTTCCTCCCAAGTACTACTGCAATGGTAGTGCCTAATGATATCTTAAAGACACTTTTAGCATGCAGTCGCTCGTCTTTCATGCCAAAAGGTAAGTTAATGTTTAGTAGAGGCTTCTGAATCTGTCTATTTCTGTTCTTTACAAAATTGGATTTCCTAGTCATAAATGTTGTAGGGATTTGCTTAACAATAGGAGATATACTGACGTTAAGATTTTGAGTGGGGTTGTGTTTTTTTAATGTTGGCCAACTATACATGAGCTGTTTGAGGTGGCTAATTGTGTCTTTAGCCTATAAATAGGTGGTTTAAGCACCTAATAATCAGTTTATGATGTTTTGAGATTGCATTTTCTGAGTTTAGTGCTTTTTTGTTCCTATTTGTGCATTTTCTCTCTCTATTGTAATGTATTTCCTAAATTGGTTGCATCACATACAATTGACATGAAATTAATTAGTTTTCTTATTTTCTTAGTAGTTGGGTCCCATTGTTTTGCTATAACCCTAGAACTGAATGCTTGATGTATGACATACCGTTTATGCTTGGTTTTCTTGTTGGCCTTAGTATTCAATCACAACGAGAAAATACCCATTATGCCTGCCAGTGCTATGCATATTTGCCGTTAACCTCTACTGTTGTGGTGTCCACACAGGTGGCCAGTGAATATTGAAACCCTAGCAAAGGCTAGGGTATTGCTAGGAATCTTTGTGTGTGTTTTCATGCTAGAGTAGAACCCACCCAAAACAGGCTATTGACAGCTCTTGAGCAGCCTGGAGTCTCTTATTTGCCCCACTTCTCTGTCCCATTCTGTTGTGTAGAGCACTACCGTTGGATTGAGACGGCAGGGGATGGATCTGGCTGATGATATGCCAATGTGCCTACTTTGTTGGAGGCTAGTGGGTAGGGACTCTCTCTCATACAAAATTCAGACCATTTTTAGAAGGGCCCATATACGCCAGCAGACCAATCCAACTTCATTTGCTTGTCTTTCTTCTACTTTCAAAATGGCTAAGCCATGTCGGATCATTATATTTTGACTGTAATTTTTATGTAGGCATAGAAAACTAGTATAGAAGTGACATTTTTATAATTATCAATCATATGATGGAGTTTTTGATTTTCAATACAGGTATAACTATATTTGTTTCAGCGGAAAATATTTTTAACGGAAAATGTTTTCCTATTTTTGGCTGTCCCCTTAAAATTCATGTACTAGTGGTTGTTTGTGGTGGTATTGTGTTAATAATAGTGACACTTTAGTTTTAAAAATGTTTTTCACCTTTCTAAAATTTAAAAAAAAAAAAAGTTTCTGCCACAGTATATTTTATATTGATCACCGAAAATACTTTTGTTTTATATTGTACCAATAGTTAGAAAATGCAAAAAATATTTTATGCTTAAACAAACAAGAGTTCCTGTATCCAAATGCTGACAATCTGCATTAAAAGTTCAAACATGGCATGTAATCTTTTGTACATCACATCACAGCACACCACAGCACACCACACAGACATCTAAGTTAGAAGATACAAAACAACAAAGTAGTATATACTTGACCTAGTAAAATCTCTCCACTTGCCTGAGAGTTGACAGACAGACAAATCACCAAAACATTTGACTTTGCTTCAGGGAATCTCGCACACTGAGGTAGGAAGGGATTCACTTGTTTTCTTGCACTAGCATTTTATATGCTTCATCAATATCCAGGTCAGCATCTGTTAACACCACCAAAATCCCATGTTTTTCTGTACCCAATGCACTTCCACCCATAATACTACTTGGAGGAATCTCGAAATACAGAAATTTCAAGACACAACAAAAAATTCCGAGATATGATCATGTGACTACTGGTAATGCATTAAAACTATAGAATAGGAATTTTGAGTGCAGAGGATGTTGTGTGTTGGGAAGAGGCATTGAAGATAGAACACATAGTTGTAAGAATTCCCCTTGGTTATATGTACAATTTTGAGAGAGAGAGAAATGGGCTTACTACACAACTTAGAGAGAGAGAGAGAGAGAGAGAGAGAGAGGCTTAGGAGACGGCAAGAAGCCTTCCACCAGCCTTCATCATGCTCTTGAACTCATCAAAATTAACCATTCCATCTCCATCCATATCAACCTTACTTATCATCTCCTTGCAACTCTCCACTCTCTTCCCTTCCTTCAACCCCAAGGAAGACAACACCAACCCTAGCTCCTCCACTGTAATCAACCCATCCCCATTTCCATCAAAAACAGCAAAAGCCTCCTTCAAGTCCCCCTCTCCTACTCCCTTACCCCCACCCTCCTCCTCCCCAACCACCTCCTCTCGGCTCACCATAGACTCATACAACCCACAAAACTCGTCGAGATCAATCAACCCATCCCCGTTAGAATCCACCTTCTCAACCATATCCACAACCTCATTTTCCGTAATATCGATTCCAATGTTCCCAAGCGATTCTTTGAGCTCTTGCTTCGTTATAAAGCCATCGTTGTTCTTGTCGAACGTGGCAAAGACGCTCCTTAACTCACCCTTATTATGAGCGACAACGGCGGCAGCAGCAGCAGCAGCAACAGTGGTGGTGGTGGTAGTGTTGCTACTCTTCTCCGCCTTGCGAAGATCTTGTGAAGTAGTGGTTTTGGTGAAGAAAGATTGAAGCCAAGCCATGGTCTTCTTGTTGGGAAAGTTGAAGAGTGTGTGTAAGAGGCTTGCAAGGAAGAGAAGTGCTAGAAATACCAAGGCCATCAACATCATCTTCTTCTGTAGATCTAGCTTCAATGCAACAGAGAAAAATTAGAGAGAAGAAAGCACAAAAGAACAAGGGAATAGGATTGGTTACATGGTTTTTATAAAGAAGGATAGAGAGTTGGGCAAGGGGACTAGTTGGGACACAGGGTGATTTTTTAAATTGATCATTGAAGAGAAAAGAAGTTACGCGTTGTTTGGTGCATAATTTTTATTCTAGAAAACGCGTTGATCTGATGTAACCGTAAATAAATTGTCTGCCGCGTGGAGGAACGGAAATATCTGTGCTGTCTTTTCCATTAACTAAAGTATATGTAAAGCGCTGTGGTGGTCCTCTCCAAGTCTCTTGCTGATTAAAAGTCACTTTTTTGTTTTTTGTTTTTTTAGTCACATTATTTTTCTATTTTTTACATATTTTTTCAAAAAAAATCAGCTTTTAATTTCTCAAAACAACTCTTAATCTAAAACTGGCCTTCTTTGGAAAATTAACTATTTTAGTTGATTATTTAATTTTTTGATTATTTTAACTTGGCTAAAAATTTTTTTTTTTTGAAAAGTTGGTTGGTTGGTTGGTTGGTTTTTTTTTTTTTTTTTTTTTTTTTTTTTTTTTTTTTTTTTTTTTTTGTTTTTAAAAAAAAAAAAAAAAAAAATTTTTGGTTTGGTGTAATATTTTTGTGTTATTGACTATTTTAATTTATTTTCTCTTTTAGTAGACTATTTTAACCCAACCTTCTTCCCATTTGGGGGTTGGAATGGCAACGGGGCAGGGTGGGGCGGGGATCACTCTCCCCGTCCCCGATCTCTGATGGTGAAAATTCCCTTGGCCCCGACCTTGATCCTTGATGGGGAATCTATCACCGTCCCCAGCCCCGCCCCTTAACGGGGATCGGGTTTCCCTGATCCCGAAAATTTTTCCAAAAAAAAAGAAGCAAAACAACAGCTATCTCATCATCATCAACATCAACAACTACAACTACAGTCTACAAAATCATCATCAATGATCATCAACATCAACAACAACAAAAACAAAATGTTTATCTATATCTATATCTATATTTATATCAAAATCAATGATGTTGATATAGTGAAGATCTTGAGAACCAACCAGTGTATATATGTGTATATATATATATATGTATGTATATATATTACCTCAAATCGGAAGAACAGTGAGAGAAGAACAGTGACAGTAGATCTAAAGACGAGGCAGCAAATGGAGGTGTGAGAAAGAAAGAGTGGTGGTGGTGGTGGTGTCGGTGACGGTGGTGTGATTAGCGGCTGACAGTGATAGTTAGAAATGTTTATCGTGGCTCAGATTTGGAAAGTGCTCTCCATCGCCGATTTGTCTCTAGACTTCTCCATCGCGGCTTAGATCTGGAAGATGCTTATTCATCTCTCTCACAGAGAGTAGAGGGAGAAGAACGAGAGAGAGAGAGAAAGTTGAGAACTTGAGATATATAATATAATAAAGATAGTTACGACCTGTTCAAAGAACTTGAGATATATATATATATATAATGGAGATATATAATATAATAACTGTTCGGGGGCTATTCGGGGTAGGGTCGGGCTGGGCTAGGGCTGGGGAACCTATCACCATCCTCGGCCTGAAAATCATCGGGAATTTAATTTTTAATACCATCCCCAGCCCTATATAGAGTAATATTCGGGAAAAACCCGTTCTAATCGGGATTGGGTCTTTATCAGGCCGGGATCAAATTGCCATCTCTATTTGGAGGCACAACATAAGGCCTACTGTTTTTGGGATTTACCCAAGTCTGTTAAGATGATTTAAATCTTTTATTTGATAGTACACGTCAATAGATTATTCATTTTAAGTGACTAATGTAATTTTAAGAATATATTTTTCAATTTTTAAATATAAATGTGATCTAATTATGTGATTATTGATGTTCCATCAATTTAATTTTTTGTCTAAATAATTTACTTGGCGGATTCTACCTAACAATAGCCTCCGTTTGGGAAGTGGGTTGGCTTTTTGGCTTTTTGGCTTTTTTGGCTATTTTAGCCTGGGCTAAAAAGCTTGGTTTGGGAAGGGCTTTTTGGCTTTTTGGCTTTTTTGACTTTTTTTGTGAGAGAAGAATGTAATGATTATAGGTTGGATGTGATGTTTTGTTTGTTATGGCTAAAATATCCTATTTTGTTTTTTGTGGCTAAAATAGCCAAAAAAGCCTGAAAAAGCCCTTGCCAAACACAGGCAATCTCCACGGATTAGAATGAGCACCGCCCTTGCTCACAGCACAGGACTTCTTGTGAATATGTATGGCACAATAGTTACCCCACCCAGCATTAAGGCCTCGTTTGGGAATAGACTTTTTTAGTAATTTTTTGACTTTTAAATTAAAATGTGATGTAAAAAAAATTAGTATGTTTGGGATGACTTTTTAGTTTTTTATAAAAAGATGTGCAAAAAGTATAGAAAAAAAGGAATCTTTGATTTTTTGGTATGAGTTGTTGAATTTTTGATTTTTTTAGTGATTTTTTGACTTTTTGATTAAAAAAATCACTTGTCAAACGATGCTTAAGTGCAAAGTAAATTTTTTTTTTCATAAATGTAGAGACTTATAAAATGAATAGATTAAATAATCGAAGCAGGGTTCGTAGTGGATTTAAAAGCCTGGAATAGCTCGGTTTGGACTAGAGACGAACAAACTCATATTTTCTAGTAATGCCATGCACTCTAAAAATTACTTAGAATTTAAAATATATAAATTATATTAGTTCTTTGTTTGTGATGAGGCATGGTTGATGTTGAGTGTAGCCAGCCAATGGAATGGTTGGACCTAAAACCATTTTTTCAATATATTCAAAACAAAATAGTTCTTATTTGTGATGGGGCATAGTTGCTGTTGAGTATAGCCAGCCTAAAACATTCAATTTTCCTTTTTCCAATTCTTCAGACTTTTGTATAGGTTTGTACTTTATAGTACATACTTTTTTTTTTTTTTTTTTTTTTTTTTGGTTTTAGTTAAAAGATAGTTTTAGTTCCTAAAGTATGTCCTTTTTTTTTAGTCCTTTAAATTTTAATTTTGTCATTTTAATCCTCAAATTTGTCAATTTGAGTCAATTTAGTCCTACGTCTAACGCCTCACTTATTTTCTATTCTAATTTATTTCCTATTCCAACACTTTCCCTTAAACTGACGTGAAGATATCTCTCATGCTCAGCTTGTTGAGAATGCCATGAAATGGTTTGCTCCCTAGCCTGTTGGTGAGGACATCAGCTAGTTAGTCTCTAGTCTTCACAAATGGAATACATATGATGCCACTAGTGAGTTTTTCCTTGATGAAGTGTCTATCAATCTCCATACGCATGGTACATTTGATAACAAAAATATGGATAAAAGATAGTTTTAGTTCATAAAATATACATTTTTTGTCATTTTAGTTTGTCAAGTTTTAAATTGTCATTTTGATCTTTAAAGTTGTCAATTTGAGTCAACTTGGTCCTATCTCAAATTGACAATTTTGAGGATCAAAATAATAAAATTTAAAACTTGAGGGACAAAAATAGCAAGAAATGCATATTTTAGGGACTAAAATTATCTTTTATCCAATGATAAGATACTATTCCCGTTATCAATGTAAACGGACGTTAGAGATAGGATTAAATTGATTTAAATTGACAACTTTAAAGATTAAAACGATAAAGTTAAAACTTGAGGGACTAAAATGACAAAGAACGTATATTTTAAGGACTAAAATTGTATTTTATCCCACGTTTTTTTTTAAAGAGTTCTATTTATGTTTAGCAAATGAGATTGCTTCCTTATCAACTATTTGAATTTAAATTTTATCACTATGTAATGCAATTTATCTATTATGCCTTTATTGATGAAGAAAATGTATTATGGACTAATTGTAATATATTTTTTAACGCTGTGTTTGGTTGGGGGATTTGAGGAGGGATTTAGAAAGGAAAAGGAAAAAGGTGTGTGAAACTATGTGAAATATAGACATATTTTATTCACATTTCACCTATCTTTTTTATTTTTCTTTTCAAATCCCTCCTCAAATCCCCTAACAAAACACAGCATAAATGATATATAGCAATTCTCTTAAAACTAACATCACATAATTAACAACAATCTCACCATGCATTTCACACAAGCTCTGATCATGATTTCCAAACATTTCCATCTAAGAAAGTATCATTTGAATCCTGAGCCGTTCGATTAAACTGATAAAATATTGAGAGAGATGACTTTTTGGTATGTAGGTAGACTCCATTGGGAATGAGAGCAAGGCAAAATTATTTGATAATGTTGGGACAAGTCTATGTGTGGCGTTATAACTTAATTTTCATTAGTTAGTAAGTATAGTCAGATTTAATATTTTTTATTTGGTTTATGAGAGAACATGACAAGTAGCATGTGTTGAGTTGTGCAAAGTATTGTTCTAAGATTATAAAAAATCACTAGAGAACAAGAGTGTAAATTTTGTTTATATTTATAAATTGAAAGTGACATTGAGTTGGGTTATATATAAATTTCACAGAAATCACTTGTCGGTGGAAATTTTAGAAAATTATTACATATATATAGAAAAATTTATATTTATAATTTTAATTTTAATATTAATACAATTTATCATTAATTTATAATTGTTTTTCAATGCTTACACCGAAATTTCCCTAAATTTTCCAAGTACACTCGTTTTTAGAACAATGTGCACCTCTCACTGAGGGATAGAATCTTTCTTTAAGGTAGATTATATATATAGATATATTCTTTCAAAACTCGTAGCCGTTAGATTAAGTTTGGAAATTCTTGTAGATTGCAATTTTTATACGATCCAAAGATAGCACAATAGAGAGATTTAGAGAAGAAAAAAAAAAAAAAAAATTGACAAGAGATATTTTGTTTAAAAGTTTTTTTGTTTTCAAATCTCAAAACATCTATAATTATTAGATTATATTTAAATATTTTTATATCTCAATATTTTTGTATGACTTGAAGATTGAGTGTTTTTCGACAATATGACAGGTTTAGAAAAAATAAAAAATACATATATTTGGTTAAGATAGATCAATGACAAAGAGGGCCCCTAGGAATTAAAGGCCACTAGAAAATGACTTCAAAGTTTGTAGCATCTTTTGATTTTATTTTTTGGGTTTGTCTATAAGTAGTTGGGCAAGAAGAAAATAATTTG